ATTGTTCGATCGGTCCGGATAAAAACGTCCGACGCGTAAGGTGTCAAAGTCAAAAACAAGAGATTCGTTGCGAATTTTAAAATAGCTTAGCCGGGCGGTATCTGGCGGTATCTATGCGTAGTCGCGCGACCCAAATTTAAATCCCTTCACGTTTTGTCGTGGTATTTTTAGACTGAATACTCTATAAACACCTCTCGAATGACAGTGTTACCGAGATCTGCTATCATACCGCAGGGAGACGAGTATTTTCAATCGGCGCGTGGATCATTCATGGAACGCAAATAACACACACACGTATCGGGCGAAGCAACAGATGTCGGGAACCCCTTTGTTTTCGCTTGTCACTTTTACGCGTTAGATACCGGCCAAGAACAGAAATATGTACATATTTTCTCGTCGATCGCGCTACCGTCTCTCAGGTACTGGTGGATCGTAAGTACTGACTGCCTCGGAGTTCGCGAGAATTCACTGGAATCGCAAACGCCGCTCGGTTTCAAATTCACTCGGAACTGAACCACGAACCACTCTACGTTGCATCAGACATGGTTCTGCTCGCAGAAACGTACGTACGTTTCCCGTATCGATAAGGAAGAAATGCCGCCATCAGAATTGCACGTTCCATAAAGCCACGATACCGGTACAAAGTGTATCTTCAAATTGCAGAACACATGCGTGCGACATTTTAGTGGATATACTATAAATAGATATGACGCGTTACACCAGTTTGCCTAGAGAAATCGATACATTGTCATTACTATTTTTAATGAACAGAAATAATTCTGTTTCACGGCGTACACGTTAAATTGAACGGCAACCTTCGGAACGGCACGACGGCTACATCGGCGTGTTACCATGTTTCTCGAAATAAATCTTCTTTATATATATACATGTATACACACACACACATATATATATATATATAGATACAGAAAAACATTAGACCAGACCAGGTTTTTGTTGCAAACGTACTTATTGTAGATATTAATGTGACACAACGCGTACAGCTTCGAGCTATCCGTTTAAACGTGATTTATGCAAAGCCAGTAAAACTCGTATACTCGTAAATTATCAATGACATTAACAGTAACGTGTTTTCGAATACCAATTTAACGTCGCGAGAATCTTAACAATGTTATCGCCGACTACTAAATATAGTAATACTAATCAATGTTTTGTATGCTTCGCTCGAGTTCCACGGCGACCTATACAAAAAGATTTCGCGCAACAATAAAATTCATATATAGTGCAACAGGTTCCCACGAAGCTACACGTTTTTTTGCTTCGCGTAGCTGTAGTTGAAAACCGCTTTCATCGCCATCTGAACGAACTCGTTTATTACGGGGACTGCCTGTTCCACCAGCGCTACCTCCGTCGGTGACATTTTCGGTAGTCCGTAATTCGCCTGTACCCCGTTCGGCCCGAATCGCAGTTGGCTGCCGAAGAAACGGCACACCGGCAAAACGTTGGAACGAACGTAACCGGAGGAGATGACGTTCAAGGATCCGCCGAGTCCATCGGCGAGCGCGAGGATCAACTTGGCAGCGGCTGCTCCGACGGACAGTATCGGTCCCCTGGCTTCGATGCTCGTTATTTCCTTGTCCGCGCCGCGCAACGATTGCAGCAACATTTCTTGTTGCGCCTATTTATAGCATCCCTTTTTGTTTATTTCATTCGTGAAAAATGTAATTAAAAAAACTAATCGGTCTCATTAAATCTCTCGCTTCCGCGAGGCAGCGTGGATGTTAACATAATATTCGAGTACAGCAACGTTCAAAGAATCGCCTGGTTACTCGCGAATAACATTTACGAAGCCCTGGATCACATCCTGAACAGATAACGAATTTTTTTATCGTTCCTCCACGGACTAATATAGATAACGCGCATAGCGGTCCACGAGTAGTCGAGTTGCGGTTCCAGGAAGAAATATGTTGGCCTATTCCCAGCGTTCCACATTCGCAGCCTGCCGCCTGATACGCGATAAAAATATTTTCTTGTTCTCGACATTCCTTTCGTGGTTCCTAATATTATCGATAACTTGAAGTCGTTCAGGCGGGCAGGAGTACTGTTCTAACATATTAATAGCAATCGCTGACCGACGAAGGTCGTGCGTACGTTTCGAGGGATTTAGAGCGGACGATTCTTCGAGCGTTTCTGTGTCACAAACGATATTGCGTACAGGTATCAAATTTATCGAGCGATTGATCCGTACGCAAGATTGCCTGTTCCGAACCTTATCGCGAGATATCGGGAGCAGTTCGTTTATAACATTTTCCAAACGTCCGCTCGCGAGCAGGAACGGGCGGTACCATCATCGTACATCGGTGAAGCTATTGATGGGACTGGCCCGTGACAGAAGGGGCACGATGGTGTACGGATCTGCTCCAGCCACCATGGGCACCGATAGAAACGCCGGGTTCAGGTCGAGGAGGTTCGCGGTGATCGCTTCCATTCGCATGCGTTCGAAGGACGTGGAACCGACGATTCTGTCGGGGTCCCACCATCCTGAGAGCTTGTAGATCTCCGAGATCATCGGCAGCGTCGCGGTGACTGGCCTAGCCAACACGGCGACCAATGATTCCGAGCTGACCGTTACCATATGCTCGGCCATTTCGTGGACGTACGGTGCGGCTGCCTCGAATTGGGTTCTGGGGTTCAAATCCATCACGCTCGGCTCTGTCTCGTCCATTAACGCGATGATGCTCGCCTACGGAACGATAATGATCGTCATTCTTGATCGAGTACATGATTAACTTTCGATTTATGAGGATGAGATCACTTCGAGAAGTTTACCAGGAATTATTGGGTGCAATGGTAATATACTTTTTATAGATTGCGAGGGTAATCAAAATTGATCGTGATCTCAAAATTCAGGGTGACGCGTTTGGAAGTACAAAGGAAGTGACAGGAACGAGTATATTATTATGCAATTGAATAGGATTTGAAGTTTTACAACGGTTTTGTTAGACTATCTGGGATTAAAGTGGGATAAGTTCGTATCTTTGAGCTAAAGCTTTCTATCATTGTAAATGTTGTGTTCAATATATTTACGCTTAGGACATTGGTGATCTTGATCACTCGGGTAAAGGCGACCTCCGAGCTTAGTTATTAGAGCTAAATCATTTGGATTTGGATGATCCTGTGAAAGGGGAAAGGATATGATGATGCGAACGTACGTCTTTAAGGGCTTTTCTTATGTGTTTCCTCTTGTAGTATTTAATCCGGGTGGACGTGTCGATGTGATTTGCGTCTAAAATTCTGCCGGCCATCGAATCGGTTGTGTCTACCAGGTTTACGTGTTTTATCAATCGGGATTGTTTCAAGAGAACAGCCGTGTAAATCGGTGCTTCGCCTCCTCCGATTATACATACTTGCACGTCGCCCTTGCGCTCTGGGAGGAAGCGATTGTAGCCATTGAACTCGGTTTCCTTTGGATTATTAGGATCAGTTTTTTCCTTAGATTTCTTCGAGTGTTTGCTGCACTCCGGGTTCTTGATTTTCCCATCGTTGGTGTGTATTTTGGAAATGTTGCGACAGAGGCAAGTCGATAGACTTTTCCTGACGGGTCGCAGGAGGTACCGTTGGGCTCCTATCATGACTGATCGTTTGCCTTGGAGAGTGAGTCATTCATGATAGCCTTTCGTATTACTGTAGGGATTTAAGAAAACATGAGGAATCACCGAGGTTAATGGTGTTAACTCAATATTACACTGGTTAGTAAAATTAATCGACGAACAAATGAATGAATTTGAGTAAATGAAATGTTTGTGTCTTAGCTTATTTCTATTTCGGTGCCGACTTTTTGAAGGAAGTGTTTGGATCTTTGCTGCTGAAGGTCCTTCTTCAATATCTGCAGAAAATGATTATTTCTGTAAAATAATTATAGTATTTAAATAGGATGAAGAAAATGGGCATAAGAGAAGTACAAGTAATCAAACAGTATATGTATAAATGTATGAAATATTTTTTTATTATATTACAAGTATTTATTTTACAATTTTCTATAATTACAATTTTGATAGATTTAATTTGCAGCTACAATGATGTCAGACATATCTGGAAGAGATTGTATACTTAAAGTTTTTTCATTTGCTAAATGTAACAAGGATACAAAGGAAATAGGAAAACTCAATGCATCTACATTGGTCTTTATTAATAAATTTGGCAATTCTTTATAAACTTGACTAAAAGGTTTGTCTTCTTTTATCGTATTTGCAGTTTCTTGTTCCACCATTTCCTTTATGTTTATAGTTTCTGTATCATTAGATGAAATCAGGCATTTCCAAATAGACTTCTTTAATTGTCGCATATCAACTTTCTTTGCACGAACACTATATGCAATAGATATTTTATTTGTTAATTTGGGAATAGCAACCAAATTATCTCCTGCGAAATTCTCGTTAACGGTATCGCTGTCAACGTTGTTTTCATTTACTTCATAATCTTCAACTGGAACATTGGGACAGTAATTTGATGTATCATTTTCATTGTCATAATTATAAATGTCAATGTTGTCAAATACTTGAGTAGTGTCCAAATTATCTTTGTTTTCTGAACTTATGGTTATTAATTCATGAAGATACAACTTAGCAGTACTTGCAATTTTGTAATGAACATCTCTTGGTAATGTAACCATTGCTTCTTGCCATTCACTTTCAGTGGATCTGATCTCTATTCTTCCCGAGCGATTCAATACAAATTTTGGCATTACAGCTTTCTTTGCATCATCATCATAACATAACTCTATTTCTTTTTTCTTTCTACCCTGTCCTTGAGGACATGCTTCTATAATTTTGCTTCCTGTGACAGGTTTTTTAAAGTTATTTATCTTCCAATGAGATGGACCAGCCCAATGAATATTCATATTTCTATGAATAAAAGAATATTCAGATGTTTTTGTTAATTCAGTGTTAGTTACCACTTTACGAAAATCTACGATCTTTTCTACTTCTTTTTGAACATGTTTTTCTACATTCTCTTCATCGTCGTCGATATCAAGAAGATTTATGCTAGTTTGAATTACTTCATCTTCAGATGGTAAACTGGCATCCAAATCGAACTGAAACTTATTTTCGGTCTCTCTATTCTCTTGGATTTCATTTTCTTCTTTTTCATTGTCATCAATCCAATTAAGAAATTCAAATTCTTCCATTGGTGGACATATTATTAATCCAGATACATTTACTTTTATAACAGTTGCTTCATCTTTTTTAATGTCTTTTGTATTTTCTACAGCATCAACAATAACGTCATTGTATAAATGTAAATTAAATCTAGAATTTGCATGATTTGGCAAAGCTACTTGATACAAAGTGTCTGCAGTTTGCGTATCATCATCTCCCATCAACCATGGTGTAGGTTTCAATATTTCAATACTTCCCTTTAGGCTTTCAACAGAACTTAAAATTTGTTTCTTACTTTTTTTCTTCTGCTTTTTTTGATTTTTTGAACCCTTTAATTGATGTTCTGGATCAATTGAATCATTCTCCTGATTATCATTTGATCCAGCATCATCTTCTTGTTTGTCTAATCCACCAATTAATTTCAATATTTCAGTATGTACACCGTCTACACGATACCCATAGATTTTAGTACTTACATCTAAGGATGTACTAGCCACTTGTAAATTGCACATATTATCGTCTTTCTTCTTAATCATATACGTCATAAAATCAATCATTTCAAGATTAAATGCATTTTTGATATTAATCTTATTTTCGGTACTGAGTTTTATACATTCTGTTATGCGATTAGATATTTCTGGTGGTGACATATGTGTTAAGAAACTAAGCCCTAAAGATCGTCTTTTATCATTTGTAGATGTTTTTGTTACCACATTAATATCAAGGCGTCTAGCCAAACGTTCTTCTTCATCATTATTTTCTGATAAAACAGATACATTTCGCAACAACATGGATTTTCTTCGTAACAAAGATGAAGAGCTTCCAAGCAATGGATCATTTGATAATTCTTTCTCATTTTTATCAATGTCAGTTGCCATTTTATAATTATAATTAGATTCGTACACAATAAAAGTTTAAATATATTTTAGGTACGTACATCTGTTATTGAAGAATCATTTTTGTTTGGCTATTTTTTTTATTCTCCAGGCCTACAATGTTGGTTTTTCATACATAAATAAAAATATGAGCCAACTTAAAAAAGTCAAGTTATATGGTAAACTTTCATAAAATTTAATATTCATCAATAATTCTTACAACTTTACATTAAGTTGCACTACGTTTTTCAATTGTTAAATGAATCAATGAAAATGGTTACCGTTTAACGTGGTGAAGTTGCTCATTATTTTTTCCAGATCAGCTCTCATTAATTGTAACAATCTGTAATATTGTTGCAATATGCTGTGCAGTTCTTCTAATGATTGTAGTTCATTTGAAAGATCCTGAAAATAACGGATGAAACCGCAAAACGTCAGACGATATCAAACCATTATTATTAAAGTATGATTATAATCATTCTTCTGTATCACCTTATTTTCCATTTGTCACAAAATTCATAGAACTGATGATAAATTATAAATTCTTATAAAAATAAAATATTGAATGACTACTGACGCTACACATAACAGATACCTTAAATTTGAATAAGTTTGAATATCATCGAGTGTTCGGAAATGTTCCACTTTTAGGAACACTGTGTTCCTAAAAGAACTTGATTTTTCCCTGTATAAGCTTTATTTTCATTTGGTTTGTCACTTCTAAATTCTATGAATATATTATTGTAAAATAAGGGGGCAGCAAGTTTTTATCGATTTCCAAATATTCAGAAACTTTGTAAGTAGATAAAGTGCTTATTTGAAAGAAATGTAAACGAATTACGTTTTCGATAGGAAGACAATATTAGTTCTGTATTGTTGGCAGTGCTGTTAAATGTGACAGGTCAGTCTGCAGGATGGCGACTATGGTGGAAGAACAGAATTCGGTTGACATGGGCGAAGATAAAGAATCACAGTGAGTTGTATTCAATTAAGTGTAATAAAAAGAAATTGCATCTGTGCATTATGTGCATTTATGAAAAAGTATCATGAAAAAAATACCATGATCTTAATCAAACTTCTGAAAAATAACCTAACGTACGACACACTTCGTGATCTTTGGCAATATTTTTTAATTTATACACTCGTTTACATTACAGATTCGACCAAGTCGGTTACAATTGGGTGGACATTACCCAAGAATTTTTCGAAGCAATCACAGGTGTTTATATAAAAGTCTAGTTTTCTCGTGTGAACGTTTCCTCGATTTTTTTTCCTTTTTTTCCTTGCCTCACTTCTTTTTGTGGTGCCCTTTGTTCAAGTTTAAATATTAATTTGATCAAGCTGCGATTCTGATAGTGTTAATTTCCATTTATTAGTGTCATAAATTATTATAAAACAATGGATAATATTGTCAATATTAAATATTTTATTAATGTGTTACTTCAGAACTGGAACTCGGAGAACTTCTACGTGAAAAATTGTTTGAATTATTTGAAGCAATGTCTGCAATTGAAATGATGGATCCAAAGATGGATGCTGGTATGCAATGTAATCGGGGCAGCAACAAACCATGTACTTTCACGCAAGCTGTTGAGTCTGGTGCATTAAAATTGGACAATCTGACTCCATCTGAAGTTATAGGAATAATTGATTCAACCTATGCGTGTATAGTGTCTTGGCTTGAAGGTCATAGTTTGGCACAAACAGTTTTCACTAATTTATACCTTCACCAGCCCAGTCAAATAGTGGATAAACCTTTGCAAACTTTTTGTTATGCCGTGTATAAAATAATTGAGATAATTAAAGATTGCATAAACAAAGCATTAGTATTTGAGGAAGAAGACTTTCAAAGTGTTACTTATGGGTATAGATTGCAAGAAGACATTGCAGAACAAAGGACTATATCTATGTTGCGCGAAGTAGAAGAGGAACTACATAGAAAAAGTAGAATAAAGCTAGTGAATGCAGAATCTGAGAAAGAAGTAGGTATACAAAAGTTAAAAGACATTGGTTTGACTTCGCAGTTCATTTATTTGATTAAAAGGGTCACTTAAATATTGTTATTATGTTTCTAGTACAATGATGGGCTAGCCCTATATGCAAGAATTAGATTTACCAAGTTGTTTTATCAAATATTATCATTAATGGGGAAAAAAGAACAGCTGCAACAGAATTTAAACGATTGTCATAGATTGTTATACACGTGTTCATGCATGATTCAAGTTATGATTAGGACAATAGATCGTGGAGAGAAGGCTGATGAAATTTGTAGGTATTGTAGCAGTAGTCTGTCACTTGCCAATTAGGATATAATTCTATTCTGATTTCCAGCAAATTATCCAAATATTATGGGATTTGATCCCATGGTGAATCAGAGATTATTACCACCAACATTCCCTCGATATACGAAAATAAAGCCACGATTGGAGGCGCTAAAATATCTGGACGAATTATTGAATAGATTTAGAACGGTCACTATGATCACCAATCAGAATGGTCTTCATGCAGCCTTGGTAAGAAATGGCTTACAAATACATAGCAGTCTTTAGTATAAATACCAAATACACTGATTTCTTTTTAGGACTTTTTTTTAGAATTCTCACGACAAAGTCCGTGTATATTATCTAGATCAATGCTACAAATAGTTTATTTACCTACGACAAATCGAGTATTTGGTGTGCATAATTTCGCGGATGTTTTGAAAGACGCGGCGCGAAACTTTATCGCACCACCGGTCTTAATGCCAAAGAGCACGTTGCTTCAGAATCATCAGGCTAAGGAGTATGTTGATAGTTTTATGTCTCATTGTGTGAGCCTCTTTGGAATGCTGTTGCAGCTGACTGGTCACAACAGAGCAAGGCAGAGGGATAAACTAGCACATTTATTGGAAGATTTCGCTGCGTTGCAAGACGAAGTGAGTTCGAGTGGAATCTAAATCAACTTATATGATTCTCATGGATTCTATTATTTCAAATTTGAAATTTCGACAGGCTGAGAGAGTAGATGGGTTCTTACATACGTTGTCTTTAAAAAGTGTTACACCCAGGTCGCATCTAGCTTGTTTTGGAACATGGATCTTGTATCATACGCTACGAGTAATGGTCATGTACTTGTTAAGCGGGTTCGAGTTGGAATTGTATTCAGTACATGAATATCATTACATATACTGGTACCTTTATGAATTTCTTTACGGATGGCTTGTATCGGCTATTACAAGAGCCGATACCTTTTTAATGGAACAGGATGTACATAACAATTCGAATAAAGGCAGAGGTGCCAAGAAGAGTGCTAAAAATAAGAAAAAGAGAAAAAAATCAACGCCGAGACCGTACGACTTAGAAATATTGATGTATCAAGCTATGCAAAATATATGTGGTGGCTATTATAAAGTAAATCTTAGTTCGACAATCTTTCAGTTTAAACAAATTCACCTGTAGTATGTAACCGGCAATGCAACGTCTATCTATATTCTAGGCTTTAGTTGGTTTCCGTATGGATGGAAGAATACCACTTCCTGAAATGCAATTTGATTCGGAACGTGTCCGATACGAACACAGGTTATTGCCGTTTTCTTCGCTACTGACGCCGCCACCAGTTCATTACCAGGAATTCTTAGATATGACTAATGCACAGATGCATAAAAGAAATGTGCGTATGATAATGAATTTCTTCTCCATTACGTTCAACTTATTTTTAACTTTTATGATTCTAGGAGGAGGTTACTAGTGAAATGCAGTACTTAGCCGGCTGTCGACATTTTCATCAAGCGAGAAATATGTTGGAACGAGCTTTATCTCTTAATCCACCGAACGCCAGTACTATTATAAATGAGGTACAATTAAATAATATACATCTACACCTGACCCTCGATTCACACGAATATCCGTTCCACGTTTCCAAAAGATTCGAAAGAAAAGCTGGTATCAGCTTTAAATAATAATAATGACATTTTAAAAAAAAAAGTACATTTTATTCGAATCGAGGGCCACGTGTGTATTGGCTTGTTCGGCTGGAACTGTCTCATTCACTGTGTACATTTCGATTTACAGATCAATGACTTATTGAAAGTATCGAAAACAAATTTCGTGGTTCTAAAGTTACTCGCCGACGGTCATCAAAAGAATTCGAAAGAACCACCAGTATTCGACTTCTCCTGCCACCAACACTTCCCGCTGATCAAACTTACAAAAATGAAATCTTTGTAATGGCCCCCGTCTCGAGCTACAACTGGACATATATTATTTATTTTAGCTTTAACCGTGGAAAAAAATATTTTTGTGTTGTTAACATTTGGATGCCTTTTCTTTCCCGTTCAACGCATACTTCACGATTCACTCCCCATCCTGTGTGTCCTCCATTCGCCATGCTGTACCCCCAATTTTTACTTTCCTCCTACATTTAACGAAACTTCTCCCTTTATTGTACAGATATGTATTATTTGTCGTATATATTTTGTGGATAAATTTCTATACTAAACGATGAAACAATATTTGTATATAGTTTATCACAAATTGTATATGTTTTAAGTGAGTTCATGTGGATTCCGAGGAATGAATGTGTCGGTCGTCTGAGGATAAGGTTCGTGAAATTTACAGGTCACCGCGAGATGTAAATACAACTTGTAGAATGTATAGCTTCGAAATGTTGTATAGTAAAATTATACTGTATCGATGAAAGAAAAAACTGTTAACGGTAACTCTTGTTAGAAACTCACGTGCAACATTTTCAATATATCGCAAGCTTCGGTTACGCAACGCCAATCCGGATTATCGTCCCCTCTCCTCCTTTTTTTTTTCTTTTTTTCTCTCTGTTTCTTTCGCCAGTAACGATCTCGCAATTCTATTGATCTCATGACCCCGATTTCTTTGCGTGTACGAGCATTGTCTTCGTTCTGATTTAACGGAGAGTCATCACGGTTTATACATTGTTAAATTTTGTATAATACGGAAGGGAAAGGAAACATTGTAACCAGCCTCGTGATATTGAATTTAAACGTAAGATTGACGATAAATGCGATCGAGCAACAAAGATACCTGTAAATCAATAAAAATTCGTGTGAGAAAGTGATGTACGTCTAAATAAAAGTAATAGTCTGAGAAGGAAACGTGTTCTTCCATCGCAATACCTATCGCAAACAATTCATATATTTTGTTCTACTCAAAAATAAAACTATGTAAACACACGTTCTTTTTATCTTGAAACTTCACAAATATGTCAATTGTATCCATAACCTATTATCCTTTACAGCTAAAATAATTTCTTGTGACTCCATTGTCTTTAATTTAAAAACGTTAATCGTTTTTCATTCGGTAGAGAGTACTACGAGTAAAAATGGTCTGCAAGCGATTAACGATAGAAGACCGAAGGATAAAGAAGCCGAATTTAGGCGGATGGCGGAATAGAATCACAAAGTTGGAATATTTGAACGCCGAGTCGCAGACGGGGCCGCGAAAAATGCCGTCGAGGAACACGTGCACCAAGATGACACAATACATCGCGGTCACGGATGTGGAGACGCAAACTCCGTGCCATCATCCGACGCAAATGTGGCGGTGCGGTATTCTTTATTGAAATTAAAAATGCTTGATATCTCGAGTGCGGAACATTCCCGCGCACTTTTTCCTCGTCAGTTGAAATTAAACGCTCCCTTCTCGCCGGGGAAAATTAAACTCGGGATCAAATCTGCATCCTCTTCCTCCGTTCTCCGCAATGTACCTTAATATTAGATTCACGGACATTCACTGTACAGTTTAGTCCATCGCTGTTAAAGAAACTGATGTTCGTTCATCCGGATTCTGGAAACTAGAGGTTTAACACTGGAACTACTAGACGGGTCAAAATGACCAATCCCAAGATTCTCATTTCGCCATTATTAAAATTTCAAGTAAATTCCTGTGTTTGTACGAGTGCAGCAATACGAAGTTTTTCAAATCACAAGAAATGCGCTTTCTTAATCTGTATAACGGATTATTAATAGCTCAGTCTTATCGCTTGGTAGTTCTAGCGTTAAAAGTAGACGTCCAAGAGACGTGTCTGATACAAACGATTACCAAATAATGTTTAAGGAAGTTGATATTTCACTTCTTTCATTTTACTTAGGCCGGACTGTTTCATATCGAGCGAATTGGACAAGTACGTCGCATCTAAGCATTACGAAACGTACGAGGAGATGATGAGGCGATTGGACCACGACGGGAAAGCTCGAATTATCCAGAGAAACTGGCGAGCGTATTTGTTGCTGAAGAACGTGAAGGAGTATGCCAGGCAATACAGGGAGCTGGTCGAAAATTGTAAACTGTACGAGGAAGAGAAAGCGACGATGTTCAAGTACATGCAATTTTATTAATTATGAAGGTTCTTTGAAATGTACAAAACCTTCAACAGATGAAGCTAAATTACATATTAATTACTTAAATAATAGCAATAACAGGAACTACACGTTAATCTCTTGCTGTCCGAGTACTTAATCATTCGTTTGCGACATAGTTTTCCAAATATGAACGTTTCATCTCGAAATGTCGACATTCGTCCGCAAAGGGCTAAAGTTCTATCTCCAAAGATATTTTCAATCTCGAAATAGAGCAGAATCACATTGAAACGATCCAGCTCGCGGAAGCCTCAAATCTACGATTAGAACAAACTTCTTACAATTGAAACCAACATCTTGAATTTCAGTCGAAGACGCGAGCAAGAGACTCTCCGGAAGATAGACCCCAAGACGCGTCTGGACTTCGACATGCTGTACGATTTAGTGGAAAAATGGCGGCTGGACCGCATCGACTACGCGAAGAAGCGTTTCTTCAGGGCGGCGAGGTGCGCCGAGGGTTATCTGACCCTGGAGAAGACGGTGGAGATGCTGAATTTAATCGACAAGCAGAGGACATGCGTGAGAGCGGCTCACAGGAACCGGAAGCGCGCCAGGTTCCTCGGAGTGAACTGCAAGCCCGTCCGTTGGGTCGGCTACAGACAGAAGCAGATCGAAATGGTCACCATGAGGAATCAGAAGGCTCGCGAGCTGAAGACGATCTACGACTCTTTGACCAATTACATGGTGACTCGCGGAGAACGGATGGAGATCTTGACGATGCTGAGGCAATCGTTGGAGTACCATAATTGCGTTCCCGCTTTCGATCTGATTCGACTCGTGGAACAGGAGCTGGACTATTTGGCGAGAGGACTGGCGAAGGAGATGTCCTTGGACTACTTCAGGGAGCGGATAGTCTGTGAGATGTGATTTTTAATGGGGTATCTTTCTGTAGGATTTTTCTGTAGAATCGTTCGATAGCTGCGGTTGAACGGAATGACACTCTTCCATTGAGAAAACATACTAAATTTCAGTTGTTTATCCCTTTGCGGACGAAGATTCCCGGAAATATACAAAACCATCAACAGGTGAAGCTAAATTATATATCAATTACTTGAACAATACAAAAATAGGAAACTACGTGCTGATCTTTTGCCATTCGAGTAATTATATCATCTGTTTACGACTTAGTCTTCCAAATATGAAAATCTCATCTCGTCGAAATGTCGACATTCGTCCGCAAAGGGTTAAATATTTAGAGGAAAAGAGGAAGCGAAGATAACGCTGGTTATTCATAAGTTTATGTTTCATCTTCCTTCGATGACGCAGTTGGATATCTCTACTTCGTACGATCCTGCCACTCGTGTTGCTGCGCGACGAACGACGATTTCTGTGGAAACGCGGACGACGAGAAGCTGCGAGAAGCGGTCGAAACCAAGACGATGGTCTGCAGAAGCTGCTCCAAGCTTCTTCCGCATCGCAAGTTCACCGTTCACGGCAGGATGACGAAGCTCTCTACCTGCATCGGTATTAGCATTCATTAACACGTCGACTGACGTCGTCACTGATGACTGGTGCCTCTGAATTGCTTGAAGTTGTAATATGCAAGGTGGCTGCGTTGAATGAAAATGTCTGACGAGTTGATAATACTGTAACAGGATCGCGGTATCAAACGATTAACCCTTTGCACTCGGAGGTGACTCTCAGTCAACCTGATTTGATATAATGAAACCATAGAATCTGATATTTAATGTTAAACTTTGTGCCTTGATACGTGAAATAGAATAAAATAGCTTTGTTCCTCAATACACTGGCGATTTCTCTTCGAGTTCTTAAACATCGTCTTTGCCTCGTCAAAAATGTTCAATATTTCTAGTAGGAAACTTCCGAGTGCAAAGGGTTAATAATCGAGTCGCTCAGAAGCCAGTGCGATTAGTCCATTCTTCATTTTCTGAGTTTTCAATTCTAATGAAAAAGAATAAAAAAAAAAGAACATTTGACACGATTCTTTTCACGCTTCTCCGAAGTTCAGATCTTCCGGTCGAATACGCATCGTTGTCGAGGCAACCTGCACATGTACATTTCCTTTTCTTCGTTACAAAATAATCTCTCACCGTTCGAAGCGTGCACCTGGCTGCGCGAGCGGAGCATCGCGCACGTGAATTACGAGCACCACGCGTTCCTGCTGAGCTGCGTGCGCTCCGAGGAGCGAGCGAGAGGATCGCCGTCCGCCATCGCGTTCACGATGCAGAAGGAGGACATGCACCACCTCGTGAACAACGTTTGGCACGGCCGCTCGGTGATCAGCGAGAACGACGACCTGTTCCTGCTGAGAATGATACGGTACAATCAAGAGACGGAGTGGTCGCCTTGGAACTGCATTCTGCTCACGACGGAGGAGGCCGAGGTCCACCGCAGGATCAAGGATCCATCGAGCGTGTACTCGAAGCACCTCGTCGAGAAAATTCTGTTGTGCCACCAATTGGCGAGGAATCAGTTCAAGTAGGCTGGCATTCGGTCGTCCTATAAGTTGCCGTTTATTTTTGTATATACAGGGCGTTTATGAACTATTGCGCATAAACAGACGTGTAAAATTCACTAGAAGAGTAACAGCATTTTAGTAAATGGCTGCAAAATTCGATAGTTTCTGGGATAAGAATAGGTTTAGTTTCAAACGTAGGGGAATTGAATCGAAAGCACCGAATTATTTTGCAAAGTATTAGCAATGAGAACAATTGTGACGAAAAAGTTTGTGTATTTATGGCAAATATGTGGGTATGTAGGAAGTAGAGGATGTTTTAGGAGAAATGAACTCCTGTAAATTGCTTCAGACGATTGTGACTTAGCATACAAACGCACGGACTAATTAGATTATTAAATCGATTTCGTTTGACTGAATGGATTCCACTTTCGACAGGCGTTTAATGAAATTCGAGTCCGAGTTCCGGGAGACGTTCCACAAGATCGAAGATAAGCCTGTGTACCGAGCAGCGATTAAAGTGGAAGACTACAATTTCATGTGACGAAGAGAGCACTGAAGTTTCCTTCACATTTTCCGCCTGGTTTTCGAAATAAAATACAGTTTCCACAAAGGGTGCTCCAATTCCTAAACTTCTATAGAAAAACCAAAGACTGTCCAACAAACTAGCGATCCCTTTATTCTCAAGATTAAGGCTAATCTTCCCAATAATATCGAGAAATAAACTACCCCGAATAAAATAGTCTCCACAAAATGTGCTCCAATTCCCAGACCTACTCTATAAAAAAACCAAAGACTCCCTAACAAACCAGCAATCCTCTTGATCCACGAAGGCTTCCCCACGAGCCTAATAAATTAACCCTTTGAACTCTAGGCTCCAAAATTGCACCAGTTCTAATATTAAATATTTTAATGAATTTGAAGAAAACTACCTTAAGATTACTAGATCTTCCAAATATACGAAGTTTGTACTGAGAAGGGAATTAACCCTTTGCACTCGAGGGGCGCCTTACAGTCGCCAGCTGATTCGACGCAGCAAACTTATAAAACTTTCAATTCAATATTAAACCTTGTGTAACGTATCAACACATAAAACATCGAAGTAAAATAGTTCTATCTCTCGATTCATAGAAGATAATCAATTGTGTTTGTTGCGAAAAATATCGTTAATATTCAGTCAGGAAGCAATGAATATTTTTAATGAAAAATATTGTCGAGTGCAAAGGGTTAAAGGTCTAAGAAACGTTACAACATTGTTAATTTCCAGTAGGACCACCATCAAAATTGGCAGGAGTTGCTGACATATTACAAAACTGTGGAGTGCTAAGGGTTGATATCGAGTCTCGAATGAAACGCACTTCAAAAGGACGCCGCAATCCCTAAAGCCTGTGTTCCCAGAGAAAAAAGGCAGAAGCTCCGCAAAGTGGCCGGTGTCTTCACGTGAACCGGTCGACGCCAATTAAAAGCAGCTTTGAAAAGCACGGGGGCGTACGGCCAAGCAAACAAACGAAACCGTCATTTTTTCCGCGGAGATGGACAATCGCGGCTTGCGGTTTGGTCGCCGGCCGCCTTTGAGCGGCGGACATATAAAATCGAAAAATAATGGAGTAGAAAGTGCTTTTGACCGATCGACCAAACAGGTTGCCACTGGCAACGCCGGATTTAAGGCTTTGAGCTTTCAGGTGGCGCGCGCGGAGATCCGCCGATGCACGGGCCGCGTTGCCTCGCGTTAAAAAGCGCCGATTGTTCCTTTCTGTCCGGGCTTCCTCCTTTCCGCCGATCTTTTTCTCCCCGCCGTCCGTCCCGATAAATCTAATTTCGTTCGCCGGCGACGCGACGCGACGCGACGCGTCCTCCGGGCTAATTTACGGTCGACGCCGGGACGAGTGACAATAAATCCTCCGGCGATGACGAGCGAATCGTCGTCGCGCGTCCAGACGAACGATGAATAATCGCCGGCCAGCTGTGACTGATAAACAGTACGGTTATAAAAGTAATTTACGAGGGAATAAACAATAAAGTCGGCGCGGACGCTCCTCGAGACAGAGAGGCCGGCTCGGCCGGCGAGTCGATGCTTTTCGAGCTTGATTTGTATTTATTGCGATTACGCCTGCTGGCGGCCGTATTTTTGGCTGGCCCGCGCGCGATACTTTCGGGTCCGTTTGAATTTTTATCGCTCCCGTGCTTCTGTCGCTCGTCGTTCGTCTTGCGAATCTTGGCCGGCCGAATTTCCCGTTTGCTGGCGAGTGCTCGGTCGTTTTGCTTCCAATGCGGGCATTTAGTTGAGTATTTTGGAAGAGTGTATGTGTAGTGAGTGAAATGGTAAGTAGTATGTTATACTGTATGTATAAAATAGTAGTAGTAAGTATGCACTGGGATGGGAAAGTTGTTATTGCATGTCGAGGTAAGTATCCTACAGTAACTCGTTCGTAGAAATAAATCAAAGGAAATCGTGACTGTAATCGCGAACGTCGATCATCTTGAAACACCTATTATTAAGTCGGCGATAAAAGGTAAACGTAACGATCGGAAGGATAAAACGCGAAAGCGATCGTCGTCGGAGGGTCGTAAAAGACAGCTCGTCGTCGAGAGCTTTCATCGGACGTCTCATTATTTGTCCGACGGCCCGACAAATTAGTCCACTGCCGCGATAATTTGTCGCGATATTTAGCAGTGACGGAAGAGGATCAATTTGCAGAACGGATAGCGGAGCGCAGTCGATTTACGAGGCCGATCCGCGCGCGACGGTTTTAACGAGAAGAGCCGTTTAATATTTATGCGCTCGGGATAATTGTCCGCCGCTCGGGATCTGATTTTTCGACGGTCGTTATTAGTGGGGCTCGCTCTCGTCAATTATCGTCTCTACTAATTATCCGACGCGACGCGGACTACACCTTTGTTATTGCTTCCCTCGTCGCGGCCGAATGCAAATCTCCCCCGCGAACGGGCGCCCCCTCGCTTTCTCTTTCTCCTTTCGAACCCGGGAAACCCGGTCCGCTCGAAACCCGTTCATTAATATTATTTCAAAGCGGCGGAAAATGTTGTTTTCTCGTTCCTTCTTCTCTCTTTTTTTTCCTCCTTCGCCTCGCCTCGGCTGGGCTCGGTTCGGTCGGCTTTAATTAAAATGCAACCCTCGTCGCGGGGCGTCACGGTATCACCGCGGAATATTATTTCAGAGTATTCGCATTTGAATTTCGCAAAAATGTTAATCCGACCCGGCCCGAGGAGCCATATCGGCGCCGCCGCGCGATCCCGGCGAGCTCTCGCGCCTGAGCCGTTACATCAACCATTCCCTTTTTGCATTCCTTCGATGCCCCGGGCGGTTTGCTCGAACGGTTTTACGTCCGTGTCGTCTCTTAGCAACCTCTATTTCCTTTTTTCACGTTAAATGCATTATTCATGGCGCAGAGTGGCTGGCCACCGTGCGTACGCGTGCGTGCCGCTTCGGAGGATTTCGAAAAATGCGCTACTTCCGTGCTTTCGCGGCGAGACCGCGGCTGTACCGCCGACAAAGCGATGTTTCTCGTTCGGCTGCTACCGGTGGAATCAATATTCTGCGTAATTCGTTTTCGTATAGCGAAGGAGAATGTAGAACGGCGCGCGTATGGATGGAAAAGCGAATGGATAATGGATACGGTCGTTTTACGCGATGCTTCGTTTTCGGGATAATCGCGTTTGGACATCCGCGTGCGTGATGTTTGAAATGTAGCTGACTGTTCGTGACTCACTGTTTCTACTTTCGGTGAATGCTAATGCTCTCCGGGCGGAAGCTTTCGGGGTTGATTAGCTTGGTTGATTACTTCGGTGTTGATTATTTCGGGGTTGCTTACTTTCGGAGTCACTTCCGAGGTTGATTACTTCGGAAGTTGATTGTTTCCCAGTTAATTATTTCCGAGTCGATCGTTTCGAAATTGATTACTTCGAAGTTAAATATTTCCAGAGTTGATTATCGTTTCGCGTAGACTCGTTCCTTTCTCGAGACTCCGGAAATATTCTGTGTTTCGCAAGAATGTTTCGGACATTATCAGGGACAATGGAGCTCCGGGGACGAGACAAAAGGAGGGGACGTTCAAAAGAAACCGGCCAGAGGCGAGACACGAGTATTCGCCGGTTCAAGCAGTTGCATCCGCTTCTTTCCTAATGAGGAGAAACGCAACCGCGACTAAAAACGGACGCGGAGGAGGAGGCACACGCTCTGTCGCCGTGTTTTTGGCTTCGTCCCTTCTCCACGGGACATCATGAATATTTCATGCGCCGATGTAGGCGCGCTCGGCCGTTCGCGATCCAATTAAACAGAAATTAAACTTGTGCGTTCGTTCGTTCGGCCTCGTTTAATAACCGGCACGTAAACACTTATTCGGAACCGTCCACGTTTCGCGTTGCCCCCTTCGTTTTGCAACGCGAAACTGGATTTCGACTGTCTTGATATTCAATTGCCATTGCAACACTGGTTCATTGGTTGTTCTACTAATTTTTACTTACCAATCGAAACTTCATAAAATCATGATATCCCATGCCATTGCAACACTGGTTCATTAGTCGTTTTACTCATTTTTACTACTTACCAATCGAAACTTTATAAAATCAGTGCTCCGCACATTCACGAAGCAAAATATACCTTTTCAATAATTCTAGAAGCAGAAATCAGGGATAGGTCATTTTGACTCATCTAGTAGATCTAATACAGTACGACCACAGAATTCTATTTCTTTTTCGACAAACAATTACTAACAAAGTCACTCCACTGACTCGAGTTAAAGAAATCATATAGAAAATCGTGCTGAATAAAATCAGCTTCTCCCTTAATCGAGGGAACAGTTTATTAACAGTCGTCGATTAAACGGTTGCCAGCGAGTTTCGACGTCGACAGAGACGAAGAAGAGAAAGAAGACGAACGTCGACGACGAATATTCCACGGGAAGACCGAGAGAGTGGTAACGAATGGTGCCGAGTTATAAATTCCCGTTAATTCGCGCTTAATTCCTTGTTATCCGGCCGAAACGTCGGCGAGAGCTCGCCGCGCGTAGGAGGAGCGCACCCTTCGAGGTTTTACGGTTGACGGGGACCCAGCCGGCGGTCCCGTCGCGCCGGAAGTGGACCGGCGAACGCGGAGAACCGTGAAACTGGTGCACCCGTGCCCGCTGCGTTAAATGCATCCGCGTAATGCGGCCCCCTCGACAAGGGAAACACGCATGCTTGCCCGCCACCGTGCTTTTTTCCTTTTACTCTTATGTTCAACGTTCTGCAACTGAGCTATGGACGGTTTCAATCCGTTCACAGCTGACGGACAAACTACTCGACAACTGTAGTTTAACCCTTTGCACTCCAGAAGTTTCTCATTAGAAATACTCAAGATTTTTTAATGAAATACCAACGACATTCTTTCAAACTGACTTAACCAGAAATCGTACATAAATTAAAGGAAGGGGCTGTTTTATTTTAATATTTGACATGATGCGTTGTACAAAGTTTAATACTAAATGTCAAACTCTATAATTTTGCTGTGTCAAATCAATTGGCGACTGAGAGGCCACGGAGTGCAAAGGGTTAAAAGTGAGCGAATGTGTTTCATTGCGATGGAATAATATAGGTTCTGCGCTTCAAACTCACCCTTTTGCAATTGCACGTTTCAAAAACGATAGTGAGAGCATTTTGTTCGAACTATTTTTGATGAGGCAGCTTGTGGAAATTGAGACGTGGAATAGTTTAACCCTCTATGGACCGAATTTTTGTTCATTATCATAACAAAATCTGTGTAGTACAAAATTAATAAATATCCGCATATGAATACGAATTAACAATGCATTCAATAATTTCAATAATTTCATCAAACGAATATATTCTGTAACTTTCAAGTTGCAATGACATTGAACTTTCTCGCCTGAGCGTATGAAAGTTTAAGTTAACTGATCACTTAATTTTATTCACCACTTTGAGTGCAAAATGAAGTGAATCAACAAGATGCCAATATACCGATATGTGACTTCGAAGTTACACGAGCCTACAGAGGGTTAACAGAGATTTAACCCTTTGCACTCCAGAAATTTGTCACTAGAAATATTCGATTCATTTTTACGAGATATAGATGACATTTTGTTAAACTAATCTATTCACAAAATAAGGAGAGCAATGGTATTTTATTTCCACATTTCACGTATCGACAGATCACTCAAGACTTAACGTTAAATACGAAATTTTACAATTTCGATGCACCAATCGAGTGGTGACTGAGAGGCACCTTTGGAGCGCGAAGGGTTAAATTGTCTGGTAAGTAATTAGAGAGGTTCGCATGGCTTATGATATCGCAATAATTTCAAGACACCGCGCGATAGCACCGCAACCACGTGGTCCCGTTTGCCCTACGGTGCCCCTAATGTCGGATAGCTGCATTTGCATTACGGCGTACCTCCGCTAATGGCACGTGGTTCTGTTTACAATGCGCCACGTGGCACTAATGCCGCGGAACCCTTGTTTACGTAGCGCCACGTGATCTTCAATCGCCAATACTCACGAATCCCTAATTCGGAATTGTGTTTGCGAACCGGAATGAATTATGGACTCGGTACTATTATACTCTAATCCCTGTGCCGCGCGATTCCGTAACTTCCGGCGCACGAAACTCGAACCTCGAAGCGCGCGCTTTAACGTGTAAGTGGCCCGGATAAAAGGAATCACGCGGACACGCCGGAAATCGAGATTGAACGTCGCGGGTGACCCAAAGCTGCCCCTCGGCTACGATCGATTCCCCAATTGATCAACTCGAAGCTTTTCCAACTTCGGATACACGAAATTGAAGCTCGAAGTCTGCACTTTAACGTCCGAGTGGCCACGGTTCGGAAGAGTTACGAGAACCCTTTGAGAACCGTGTCCGAACGCCAAGGGTGATCGGCGCCAAAATCGAGCTGAATTTCGAATCGATCGACTCGAGACTTCTCAACTTTCAACTGTCAATTTTGAACTTCTAACTGTTCCTTGCAACGAAACTCACTATCGCCTTCGTTGTTTTCCAATCTTCCTTCTCTTTCTTTCGTAGGCGACATTTTCTTGGCTCTTAACACTGCAACTACCGATCACTTAAACTGACTTTTACCAAACTCACTATCGCCTTCGTTGTTTTTCAATCTTCCTTCTCTTTCTTTCGTAGGCGACATTTTCTTGGCTCTTAACACTAGAACTACCGATCACTTAAACTTTTACCAATCTCTATAAAAACCATAAGCGTGCATTCATCGAGACTTCAATTGAGTTGTACTTCAGTTTTGCTATTACTGAATTAGTTAATAATTATTATAATAACAATTTTTCCTTCTTGTAAAAGAAGGAATCAGAAATAAGTGATATCGACCTATCCGGTAGTTCGAGTGTTAAACCAAAGGCCAACGATGAAGACGCAGTCTTTCGGCTGGAGGCACAAGGTTACCGGCGCCATTTATTGGAACGCGAGCACGCAGACGGGTCGACGTGGCACGGTCGAAAGGGTTGCACAGACGGAGCACCTCGTCGACGAATGGACTGTCACGCAACGTGACGTAGGCGTGCAATCGTGCACGTTCCCGGACGCGAGGGACAGGCTCGTGGAAGCTAGGCCCACTTCTTCCTCTCCGGACCGCAGTTTTAAGGACTCCTCGAGGAACCGGAAGATCTTGGAGAGTGTCGTAAAGATACAGAGGTTTTACAGGTGGAGTAATGGCCGGTGTCGAGTTAAAGTAGCGAGTAGCGTAAAAGTTAGGGGAGCGACGATGCCTCTAGGCTGCTGCGTCTCTTTCCCCAGCTCCTCTACACTCGAGGGAACGCGGACACTTGGTATGCACGGCGGCGTAGAGATGGTTTATTTAAAACAACGGATAGACAATTATGCTTGCTATCTTCTGTTCAGGAATGCCCTTTTCTGGGAATGTACAATTATTCCGAGCAATTCGAAGTTCTAGGGATTCGCTATGACGATGTTAGGGAAGTCCATTGCTCCGTGTGTAGTGACAAGTGTCCCTTGTTCCTTGGTACGTTGCATTTATTTAGAAGGGATTTCAGCGAGTTCTGAATGATCTGGGAGTGCTGTAGTATCAAAAGAAAAATGGCAGATAATGTAAAGAAACGTTCCTCGCTGTGAAGCTTCCACTTTAGGTCCAAGTAGCCTCTGCAGTTGTCCATCCACAATCATTCCAGCCGCCGAACTGACAATTCAATATCTTCCTCCAATACTTATGCCATTCACTCGCCTAAGCAATGACCTGCACAAACCGAAAATTAGACGAATTCCACGCAATCCTATACAGGAGCTAATCAAATATTCGAGCACTAAACATCAAAATCACGCGTTGTTAGTCAACCGAGTCACTGAACGACTCAGTCTCTATATCGCAAGCGCAAATTCAAGTCGCAAACTCCCACGCGAAGAAAAGCAAGCGTACGCATATATTCAAGCGCCCGTTCCGCAGGGCTCACCGCGACGCGTCGGGCGCCGGCGACACGGACGGCCAGCAAGTACCGGAGCCGAGGTCTTATCGAAGCCGGGATTTCGTGATACTAAACCGCAGCTCGCCGAGGACGAGGACGGACTTCGAGTTGCTGTACAATCTGCTCGACCGTTGGCGTGTCTGCGAAACCGGGAAAGCCGAGAGCCTGCCGCGGCTGGACCCGTCCAGGATCGGTCTGTGCAGTCTAATCCTGTCGAAGGAGGTCGAGCTGCTGCGAGCCATAGACTCGCTGAAAACGGCCGCGAAGCGGGCCAGCAAGGAATCATCCTATAGCAAGTTCCTGGACGACCTGTCTTCTCCCATCGTCTGGAGGAACCGTCGCGACGAACCTGTGCACGTGGACACTCCGCTGGTCCAACTCGCCAGGAGCTTCAAAGAAAGGTTCAACGAGCTGCGCGAAGAGGACACATCAGTCGAGGAGCGGAAGAAGACGCTTCGCCAGCTAAGACAGGACATAGAGCCTCACACTTGCAGAGCCTCCAACGAAGTGATCGGTCTGCTGGACCAGGAGCTGGACCTCCTAGCTCTGAACGTCGACGGTAGCAAGCTGAACTGGCTGCGAGGCAGATTGAAGATGGCGTTCCTGACGTTCGCCAGGGACACTTTAGCGACGCGAACCCAGTGCGTCCAGTTCAGCCGTCTCCTGAGCAGAAGGAAGATCTGCAGGAGCTGCGGGAGACTGCTACCTCTACGGAAGTTCCCCAAAGAGAAGGCACGCCGATCTTCCTCCTGCAACTGCTGCTTGTACGCCAGAGTCCGCGCAGCGCCGAGGATCGTCTACGGGCCCTACGAGTGTCTGCTTAGAGACGTCAGGCGCAACGAGGCTAGACTACGCTGCTACACGAGTCTAGCGTTCGTCGTCGACTCGAAGCTGGTCTACCACCTGGTGAACGACATCTGGCACGGGAAATCGGGCGTCTCGGGGAACGATCGGCTGTCCGAGCTGAGGCTGGTCAGGTTCCGCAACGACGCCGAATGGTCGCCGTGGAATTGCCTCCTGTTGACGGCGACGGAGGCTGCCGTTCATAGAAGAGTCAAGGACCCTGGCGAGTTTTATGGGCCGATGGTGCTGCAGAAGTTTCACACGAGGAACCTGCAGGCCAGAGTTCAGTTCGAGGCGGCGCTCGGCTTCGAGAGACTGAAAAACCCGCCGGGCCGTGATTGAGGGCTTTACTGCTCGCCGAGTGTCATTTATTCCGGGGGTTTCTTTGCCTCAGTTTCCGGTTGTTTCGCGGGAGCTGTTGTTCGGCGAGAGGCTCGATGAAGGGACAAGTGGGACGAGAGTCGTTTTCTCCTGTGTGTCGTCTGAACGGGAGAGATGCGAGTAAATCTCGGCGAGGGATCATGCAGATTTCTGTTACCTTGTTTCGGATATTTCTTTGATAACTGTAGGAAGAGCAATAGAGTTTTCGTTTAACCCCTTGGCCTGTGATTTCTTTCTCAACTGTGATCGATATAACTACTTTGTCATGAATAATTTATTGGAAAAAGAGAAAAATTCGAAGCATATGTTATACCTATATTTCCTTTTAAGTATAATGATTACAGAGAAATAATGTTTACTTTGAATTCGAATGAACTGAGTAATATATATATTTTTGAATCATGTTGAACATCTTCACGAGTCTCACTCGTTGTAGGGCAAGGGGTTAAGCTTCGAAACGAAAGATTTTCGTATCCAGCGAACCTAAAGAAGCTTTAAAATAACGTTTCCGAAGTTAGTAAACCGAAGATGCTACGCGTAGAACTTCCAGTGAAGTTAACGAGAAGCTTGAAACGTAACATTTTTCAACTTGGTGAACCTAGAGAAAAAAATGCTACGTCGATTAATAACAGAATGAAGATGCATACCGAAGCAAGCTGGGAATATAGAATAAGATCGTTCTATAGAGAACTTTGTTTCAGAGATAATCGACCGGGTAAGTTCGCGGGAGAAGCGTGAGATCGGAAGAACGTTCGAAAAATCTGTTTCCCCGAAAGGTCCGTAGCCCGACGTCGACGGTAAAGAAGCGGAGTAATTCTTCGAGAGAGTATCTCAACAAATTCCCGAATCACCGTAGTTCCAGATTCATTTCTGAGGGGAGTCAGCGGCAGTGCCAGGCGAGCTCGCCCTCCTTAACAAGTTTCCCCTGTGCCCGGGGTGAGGTTCAAAGCAGCTCCGAAAGTTCATCCCCTAACGCGGCGGTCGTTTCTATAAATTCCGCGGCGGGGTGTTCGAAGTTCAGCGATTAGCGGGAACGATCCGTGTTTTTTCTCGTCGCCGTGAACCGAGAGGCCCGGCTTAGCGAGAGATAAAGGGGGTGGTGGAAAAATACAGACCGAGGGACAGAAAGTTAAAAGAGACTCGGACGGGAACGGCACTCGCGAAACATCCCCGCGTGAAAAAAGGCACGATTTGTTGGTCGGATAATTCCCATGTAAACGGGGCCGGGGGATGAAGGTTTTATTTCCAATTACCGGGTTCCGGGAACTTTTTGAACGGCGGGTGGAACGCCGGTATTAGCCTTTTGAACGGCGACGAGCACGATCGCGGCGCTACCGTGTTGCGCGGCACGGGGAACGCGGCGGCTTTGCCGTTTGTCGGCGGAACTTTTGAGAAATAAATGCCTGGGGTTAACCCCTTGCCGTACAATGAGGAGTGAGACTCGTGATAAAGATTTCTCGAATAATTTCACGATAACCAATGTTGTTCGTTACCCACGGATCAAAGCGGACAACTATTTTGCTATTATCGATGCATTATCCTCACATTAAATTTCCGCTTAAAGTAGAATGAATTTTGTTGCTTTCCTTCCAAATTGTCGATAGTAAAATGTCATACGAGCTTAGTAGAGAAAGTAAATAATACGTCAAGGGGTTAAGGAATATCTGTGCTGGAGTTTGATGGAATATAAAAAAAGATTATGGAGGCTTGATAGAATAACTCGATAAAACAGAATTTAGGAAGATGCAATGAAAACAGTCAAATTGGGAAGATACAAAATCTAGAATCAATTAATTTACTTGTAACTATATTTTTTAACCCTTTGCACTTCGTAGACGCTTCTCGTCGATTGATTTGACGCAGGAAATGATAAAGTTTCATGTTTAATATCAACACTAGAACTACCGAGTATTTAATACGATTAATACGAAATTCCTATAGAAATTGTAACAATAGATTATTTTCAGTTTCTTCAAACATTCATTATAGTACTGAAACTATTTATTTTCAAAATCATTTCGAATATTCAATGCCTCGAAGATATCAATAATTGCTAAACAAAAAAATCGGAACCAGTCATTTTGACTGGTACGGTAGTTCTAGTGTTAAACTGCGATGCGTCGATACGTGAAATATTGAAAGAAAATGGTCTCGTTCGAATGTCGTTAGTCTCGTTAGAAATCTTAGCTTCCGGAGTAAAGGGTTAACACAGGAAGAAATGATTTTACTGAAACGGTTAGTGCTGACAAGTACCGTTCTACGCTTTCCTCTTCTTCCCTTTATTTTTGCGTAGCAGGCCCCGTTAGTCGGTGCTGGCCGCGTTGATAGCGCGAGTTAATCGCGGCCGCAGTTTATAAACTAAGTTTCCGCCGGCAAGAAAAGATCTACCGGCAACCAGGCGACGTTTAACCCTTTATAATCCCCGGTGTCTTCCCAACGACGTCTCTCCTCGCCCCAGCAATCTCTGAATTGCCCCTCGGTTTTTAGCTTTGCTACCTGCCAGCTCGGAGTATGCCCAGATGGCTGGTTCGTGGTACATTCCACTGGAGAACACGGAACGGAACTGCTCTTCTTGTTACGCGATGTCCCTCGGATTTGGATTTCCATGTGACGTAAGGGACCGTCGCGACGCTTTCAACACAATGACCGTTAAAGTAGCTTTTACCAGGATTTTGTGAAGTGGAGGGAACTCGTCGGTAGAACCACGGATTGAAACGTGAAGGTTCTACGCAGCGATTATTTCGCTCTAACTCGTTCTTTAGTATTGTCTTATATTAGAATTTCAATGTTATCGCGTTGCGCACTGGTAACGAGGCATCTCGTTTTTATATAGACACTCAGCTATGTGACTTCGCTAAGTACCACAGCATTGAAAAACATAAAATTTGATTCGAATTGATTATCTATTTAAAGTATATTACATAACAATATGATATCTGAGTTTTTCTATGTTTTCTATATTCAGTTTTCTGAAAATTAGCCGGTACGCAATGTTATTGTCGCTCTAATTGAATCTTACGAGCTCGAGCATTCGAATCACCCAGTGTATTACCAGAGACACGAGTTGCTAATGTTATATAAAGTTCAGATCAATTTAAATAATTACGCGAGACACTCTACTCAGTGTAATATCATATCTCTAACAATATTCCAATGAAATTTCGATAAGACTTCATCATCGCAACTGTCTGCAATTGATAAAGAATCGCAGCAATTAAGCGATAGAACTATTCGATCTCCACGCTTCACATATCGATACCTCGTTCAAACTTCAATATCGAATGTTTGATTTCATAATTCCAGCTTCAATGCTGAAAACTCTCGACCGTAAACAGTGAAACAACACGTTCATTATATTATTTCATTCGTATCACTTTAAACGTCCAACCGATTCCACCGAACGAAACAAACGGTCCCGATGGAGCCGGCTTCAAACGTTCAATTAAAGGAAACAATTCGTCGAGCCGTCCTCAGGATCCCACTCCCGCCGCCTCCGATCAAATATCGCGTGCGCGAGCCACGAGCCGCGCGATTAGCTACGGTATGAATTATTCGAGCGTTAGAATCGATCAACACCCGGAACAAAGCTCGACGAAACCGCGCGTCGCCGCGTAAACACGCCGGAACGTGAAAAATAAACGGTCCGCGATTTTCTTCTGTTTGCGTCGAGGTCGTTGTTAACCCTTTGCACTCGGAGGTATTTTGTTAGAAATAATCGACATTTTCTAACCAGACGAAGATGATATTTTTTGAAATGAACGCTGTTGAAGTTAAAGCATTGACCATGCTTATACCGTTTTTTGGAAAACCCCACATCCTTTGCAGTTGTTGGTTAATTAGTATAGACGCATGTACTGTCGTGGCAGTTTTTTCCTTAGCTAGTTCTAACTGTGCGCCCGTCTTGTAACCACCGAGTTCTACCAATAGTTTCTTCACCGCTTAACATCTCTTTATAAGTATAACCATTACTCTGACATACTCTATTTTTTATTTCACATAACCACTTAACAAACCCAAAGAGAAATCACAAGTGAACTGAGAAACAAAGCTGTTTTATCCGAATATTTCACGCACCGATGCATACGCGGTTCAATGTTAACCCTCTATGGGCCGAATGTTTGTTCGTGATTATAACAAAATCTATGCAATACAAAATTAATAAATATCCACTTACGAATTAACAATGTATTCAATAGTTTCAATAATTTCTTCGAACGAGTATATTTTGTAACTTTCAAGTTACAATGACAAACTTTCACGCCTGAGCGTATAAAAGTTCAAGTTAACCGATTACTCAATTTTATTCACCACTTCAGGGCAAAGTGAAATAAATCAATAAGATTCCGATATACTGACATGTGACTTCAAAGTTACATGGGCCTGCAAAGGGTTAAATATCAAATTTTATAATTTCACTTCATCAAATCGGGTGGCGACTGAGAGTCACCTCTCGAGTGCGAAGGGTTAA